TCCATGCGAGAAAAGCCTGCTAAGATAACGTATGGACTTTTGCTGTGTAAGTACTTTCTACAGATTTTTTTCGGCTACTAGCAGCACTCTTCGATTTTCTGGCACCAAACAAAATCACAAAATTATGGAGAAAATTATCCAAAAATTATCCATTATCCAAAATTAAAATTATCCATCATGGAGAGCAAGCCTTCTAATATTTTTAGAGAGCAAGAGTGTAAGTTTAGGTTCAGGTGTGGAAAAGTTATTGAATTTTGCTTGAACTACTGCCTCTCGCTTACGCAAGAACTTTCGCGCCAACCTATATTCGTTCACCGCCGTTCTACACGCAATCAAACGGTCACGCAGAACGTTTCGTGGACACCTCAGAAAGAACATTGCAGAAAATAAAGAAGGGGGAGATGTCGGATAGATTAGCTAAACTTCTGCAGAACTATCGAAGGACGCCAAACACTTCGACACCTGGAAAATTATCTTCTGCTGAATTGTTCTTAGGCCGACCAATCCTAATAAGGCTTTCGTTATTGGATGAATCAGCAAGAAAAGTAGGAAAACATGATACCAAGATGGGGGAACAGTTTAACCGCCATTATGGAGCAAGGTCCATTTCGTATGATACAAATGATCACGTATGGGTCAGAGACTACCGCTCGGAACATAATCATTGGATTTCAGCTGTAGTGAAGAGTCGCTTTGGAAGAGTATTGTACAACGTCAGAACTGAAGACAATCTTCGTTGAAGAAGACACGCCAACCAAATCCACAGAAACTACGTGAAGCACCAACGCAGCCAACGAAGACATCAGTCAAAGCTGAGAAGCCGAAGAAACCAACATCGTGTTACAGATATACCGCCATCAGATCGCAACCCATCTATGTCACCAGACTCCGAGAATCATTTAAGAAAAATCATGGTAGACATCTAATAAAGAAGAAGAAGACATAAAATAGTTTTGTCAGGAGAGAGGTGTTGAGGAATGATATGTTAGTGATAATGAATTGTTGATGTAAACACATTGGTATATATAACTGTGACTGTATGGTACTTCTCAGTTTGTCCTCACGGATAGTAAACGAATCACTCAAGCCGTTCTCAAGCCACAACAGTTATACTCCAGGCGAAAGGAAATGAGAAATTGGATTGATAGATTGGCACTTTTATCGATACATGATTCTTAAAACCGTAATCTTACTGCGTGGGCAGTGATTTGGTATGAAAATGCTTCATGTTATAAACAAAATCGGTCTGTGAGTTGTGAAAGATTGTTTCGCAGATTGTGAGACACATGAAATATCTTGGATTGAGGGGGGGGGGGGAATTACTGAGACAGTGTTCATTCAGCTTTTATATGCATTTGGACACATATGACATGGCTATTGACCGATGCACTTTTCTGTTTGAAACATATGATGGCATAACAGATGGTGTATGGTGTATGCAACAGCAATTTGCGAAGGAAATTTCAGAATGATACAGTTGACAGAGAGATCAAGAAAGCTTGATCCTGCATTTACTTCAGTCAATGAGTCGCTTTTCTGCATAAAATTTGTTAATGAAGCCAGGATACATTGACTATTGCACTCGAAACTTTAGCGACGCATACCTTCGCTAGGATCTTACTTGAACGCGAAATTAAGACCTGGGTTGATACGCCAGAACAATTGGAAAAAAGCTGCAAATCGGCAGAAGATTCTAAAAAATGGGTTAGTGAGTGCTGATGGTTTGGTTGCCTAACTGGAGTAATCTAAAGAGAGACTGATGAGTCGACATGTATTCTAGATTGTATTTCTGTACCTACAGCCACCATGCTGTCTTGAATTTTCAACTCTTTGGAGCAATCAGTTGTTTACGCAGTTCTGGCAAACGCCAAGGATCACTGCTTGATCGTTCTCTGGATTCGAAATACTCCTTGTTTACGCCGACATACAAACGCGCTGAATGATATGGGGGTGCTTGCGCTTTATATAGAGTAGGATAATTATGCCGCTGTACTCATCGTATTTGTGACCCTAAAGAGAACCCCTGGGTCACAGTCAATGGAACTAAAGAGGACTTTGGGTAAGAGCTCTTCAATTATCCGAAGTCATCATAAAGCTTTGCTCTTCAAAATCTTAGAGAGTGCTGAGGCCAGATGCGTCCACATTGGTAATGGCCTTCAAGTGCTCGCAGTAGGCGACGGCAAGTTCCTAAAAGTGAACTGCATAGAAATGCTCTCAATACTTTCTTTTGCTTTCGTTTTGCTTATATTTTCCTTTTAGCTTCAGCAAAAAAATCCAAAACCTAAAAGTGAAGGTGGTCGCCCTTTCCCAGCTCAAAAGTGAAGGTAGGCGGAAACTCTGCTCCAACTATCGCACCTCTGCATCGATCACGCCATCGGACAAATACGAGGTCACATCATTCTCAGACAAACGCCGGGGGAGGCGGGCGCCGGAAAAATAGATGGCTAATTTCTCGCACCCCGCTCGCGGATTTTTCGGAAAGCAACCAGGACTTTTTGGGACACCGGTTGTTGAGTTCTCAATTCCTCAGAGATTCAGCAATATACCTGCAAAAGATAAGAGCGAAAAAAAATTGACAGGCGGTTTCTCAAAAACTCGCTGACCAGCGCCCGCCTGCCTACGGCCATTGTTTGAGTTTGAGCAGAAGCAAGAAATTCTCAAGTTGGGAAGCCTGGAGGGAGCCTAATCCGTCTAAGGCAATATTTATCAATCTCCGTACATCCTCATGCCTGTTCGGAAACCTACTGTGGAAAGCAAGCACGCCAGCAGTGCGAGCGCAGGCATATCGGAAACGCTTGGCGTGAACTTTGCACGTCGCAAACACATGAAAACATCGTTTTTCATTGTTTTTTCTTCTTAGAGAGTGCTAAAAGCGGCAATTCGTTTTGAATATCAGTAAATCGTTGAATATTCTGTATTGTAGGACAATTCATAGCAGTGGGACAAGTTAGAAATGCAGAAATATTTCAAAAGGTCTTAGTTTTTGACTCAATGAGAACAATACATATTAAATGGTATGAAATGGAAGGCTGGATTGAACCACATTGATTATCGAGATCCCATCGCAAATATACTGTCTGGATCTCCCTAGGACAATGCGTGGGTTCAAGGGTCCGATCTGGCAATTTTGCCCATATCGGGCACGGCATGCCGATCTAGACAGATCGGGCTCTGTTGTCCGTTCAGGCCATGCTAACCAGCCTCGCAGAAATAACTTTTCAACCGCTTTCGCCTCGTCCGGGTCGTGTATAACAATAAAACTCGCCGAACAGCGAGCAGAAAATCGATAAATACCGCCCCTGATTTCTTCCTGCTCTGCGGCAGGTACTGCCGTCTCGCAGTCAAAGCCATAGATCCCGCAGCGACTCTGCGTCTTACAAGGAAAGGATACCAAAATTAGTCGGCGATTGAGGATGAGATGTGTATCAGTAGACGCGCCCCTGAACGCTGATTCCAAATCTGCTTTCCTTTTTTTGCGGAGCAACCTTCCGAAGAAAGTTATGAGCATTTAAGTGTCAAAATTTGCCAAGCACTGAGTGCTTAAAGTTGAGGAAAAACTCCAAAACAATATTTATGCGATTTTCACCGGCTTTGTTTCGTCCTTGCAAACAATATACTCGATACAAAACTGATTGCCCATCCAGTGTTTTTATAGATTTTTGCCAATTTCAGGCCACCTAAACTTTGACAAGTTTGGACATTCAAACGCCAACTTCTTTCGGAAACTTATTCCGCAAAAAAGGAAAGCAGATTTGGATTCAGCGTTTAAGAACGCGTCTATTGATATACATCTCATCTTCAATCGCCAACTTAATCCGAGAACTCTTCCATTAGCCCAGTTTCAAATAAGGCTTAAGCATCTGTTTTCGCCGCTGAAAAGTTTTTTAATGTGATTTTCGGACTCAGTCTTGTGGATAGCTCCAGGTAGACGATTAAAATCGAGTTTTTGTTTGGACACTGCCTTTAAGGGGGATAAAAAGTTACGTGGAATGCGATCAAGATCGTTTGTGGGTTGGGCCAGACTGCGGAGTACGCTGTGTACGCCTCGTATCTTTGTGCACGTATGCATAGGCTGCGCACGTCGCGTACGCCGCGTACGCAGCGCGGTCTGTCAATCCTATGGCGCCCGGTCAGAAATACGAAAATATTAGGTTGGCACATAAGTAATGCAACTTTTTATATAACTTTTGTCTCTTTGAACGTAGTGCGTTCATTTTTTTGGCAATATAAGGATTATGATGTAAGCTTCCAATGCACCCATTTTTGCCGAATTTTACGATCTTATGTGAAGATTACGGTAGGTTTACGGTACTATGGGAAAATTTTTAGAATGCATCAGAATTTGCGGAAACTTGACCAATAGGGCTTATTAGACATGCTGATCACAAAAATAAGATCCGTTTCGCATGAAAAGTTCTCGTTCATGAGATCAAAAAATTAATTTCGTTTTAGCGACAAGTAAATATGATATTCGTGTTCACCGTATGGGATTACCCTACAGTGCAAAATTATAGCGAATTCTAACTTTTCGCAGCTTAGTCATTGACGAATTGTCTTTAAAACTTGACGCATTTGACTTGTTCAATTTTGCAAGGCGCCCCACCTTGATTTGCGTTTGAACTTCATTTCTTTTTTACTGATTCCAATGTGTCCACTTCTAGCTACATGCTGCCTATAATTGCTTTCTGATATGTTCAATGCCGGTTTCGTGGGGCTTCATGATTGCCAAAAAACCGTGAAACCTCGATTTTCAGCAGTCTTCGAAAAATGCTTAGATTTTTTGTATTACGTTATCAAAAATCAAACGGTTTGGGCAGACTTGCAGTATATCACGCTCTACATGATGCCACAAAATGAGATTGCTACATAATATAAGAGAAAAGTTATGGGAAAAGTTGCAAAACTTATGTGCCAACCTAATACTTTTGTGATGGGCTAAATGAGCCCTTTACAGAGGTACCGTATTAAAACATGCTGAATAAAATCAGGAAGACTTATGTTTACATGTCGCTTTGTGGTGAGAACTCAAAACGTCGTATTGCCTCCGGTGACATCCACCTCAGCGGTAAACGGCAACCCTGAATGCATCATGTAATCTTGACATTTTTAGAATTACCACTTGACAAACCTTGTTTTCGTTGAGCAAAGTATTTGAATACAAATTCCGACAAAGTCCAAAGTCTCCAATTTTGCAGGAGGCTTTCGTATTCACAAGTATATTCCTAGCTGCAATGTCGCGATGAACAAATCCCTTGCTAAACAGGTACTCCTGAAGAAGAATATGAAGCAAGCAAAAAATGTTTTTGGTAAACTTACAAGACCATAAGAAATTTGCAGCGCAAACATCAGCAACTGCTTCAAGGTTACCACCATTTCTATGTTGTAGTTACCGTCTACAGGTAGATCGCTGTAGTCTAATCCTTCTGCGTTGAGCTGTAGCCTCATTATGAAAAAGTGTCACAGCAAGTGAATAATGAAAACATACTTTGATCATGTACTTGCAACGTATTCGAAGAAAATTCAGTAAATCACCGTAATTACAAAGCTCGGCGACAAGGCAAAGCGGCGCAGATTCTGTGATACATGCCAGCATGTTAACTAGCCTGAAAATTAGAAAATGACGAAGTATCTGTCTGAGAAAATCACTGACTTTCGCATTCATGCTCCTCCAGTCTCACTCACTTTGCACACAAAGAGTGACGGAATGAGAGAGAACTGCAAAATTTTTGGAAGTATCAGGTTGTAAAGAATGTTTGCGGGTTTTCATTCCTGAATAGGCTTCAAGATACCATTCGATAGAGCAAAGCAAGCTCTACAAGACGGCTGTCTAGCTTTAGTGACAGCTCTGATCCATCTCGAGTTTCGAGCCAAAAACTAAAAAGATTCAACTGCCTGAAAAATCGAGAAAAATCATAACTCAGTTCAAAAGAATCCTACAAAAATTCTAACTTGCTCACGTAAACAGTATCCACATAAGAAGTATATGTACGCCGTTGCCGTTTTTTTTTCCTCTGTTAGAAATCAAGAAAACGAAAATTTACATGCTTTTGCCAAAATGATGCTGTGTCGTCCCCACAGACGTAGATGTATACTACAAACCTGTAGAAGTACAAACGTAAATTTTCACTGTCTACAAGCTTTAGTTCTCGAGAAATTTGAATTTCAGATCGGACCACCTGATTAATGAGAGCTATATTCGATATTTTTCAAGAGCTAAAGGTTATGGAGAGCTGAAAATTTACGTCTGTACTTCTACAGGTTTGTAGTATACATCTACTCATGTGGGGACGACACAGCATCACTTTGGCAAAAGCATGTAAATTTTCGTTTTCTTGATTTCTAACAGAGGAAAAAAAACGGCAACGGCGTACATATATGTCTTATGTGGATAGTGTTTACGTGAGCAAGTTAGAATTTTTGTAGGATTCTTTTGAACTGAGTTATGATTTTTCTCGATTTTTCAGGCAGTTGAATCTTTTTAGTTTGGCTCGAAACTCGAGATGGATCAGAGCTGTCACTAAAGCTAGACAGCCATCTTGTAGAGCTTGCTTTGCTCTATTGAATGGTATCTTGTAGACTATTCAGGAATGAAAAGTGTATGTTTATTGCGGTTGAAATCCAAAACGGAGATTAATTTCCGGACAGCCTAATATTATTAGGTTGAACCGAAAGTTCTGTCGCACCATTTTCAGAAAATCGTAACTTCTTCCTATTGCTATGATTTTGCGGCTAAAATTTTATTGGAAAGAGCAATCCATGCGCTTTTTAATAGCACCTTGACTGTTATCTACTCCTCTGAATGCAGAGATGAAATTGGAGAAAGAAAATCACTTCAAGTCCGAAATTTTGAGGCAAGCCCGTTAAAAAATCGAAAACTATTCCGTAAAATTCAAAACAGCAAGTATCCTAGACAATTTAATCCCCTCTTTCTGGCTGAGCAAAACTCGCACTGATGGAGCTCTTTGAAGAAAGTTATGATTTTCGAGAAAAAACATCAAAAAATCATTTTCTTGAGAAACTGGTTTTTTGGCATTTTTATCAAAATCAAACTTTCGAAAAAAAGCTCGATCCGCGCGAATCTTGCACGACTAAAAAGAGGGGTTCAAATATCTAGGACACTGCTCAGATAATCGCCGGGGCAGGCGGTCCGCAAACTCGCGCTTTTCTGCAAGCGGTCAGCAGAATTTTGGGGCGTGGCCAAACTTTCAGCGAGCGGTACTTCCTTTACTGTCTAATGTTCTGCTAGCGGGCAGCAACACGAAATTTTCTGCGGGCGCTCGTCAAATAACCTCTTTCAGCACACGCTGGCCGAACTTTCAGCAGACGCTCGGATTCTTTTTAAGCAGTTTCGGGCTTACGTCGAGCACAGGTAAAACTCTGTATGGCAGAGGTGTCACCGTTGGTTTAATTACTCAAGTTTGAGGTACTTTCTCTCGAAGGAAGTACCTGAGGAGTGCGCGGTCCATCACAAAGGACCGTGCGGTCTTCATTAATCTTGATTCTCGCGGAGAGTCCGCGAGAATGCGGCCACTGCGCCGCAGCAATCTATAAGGAAACTGCGATTGTTCTCCAAGCATTCGTCTAAAATTTCGCTAAAATTCTTCCAAATATCTGCAAGCGGACCGCAAGAAATCAGCGAAGTATTTTTCCGGTGCCCGCCCGCCCATAAATCACATGGACGCCTGCCCGCGGCGATTATCTGTATGGCTGTTTTGGATTTTATGGCACAGTTTTGGATTTTTCAACGGGCTTGCCTCAAAATTCCGGACTTGAAGTGATTTCCTTTCTATAATTTTATCTCTCATTCAGAGTGAAGTAGATAGCAACCAAGATTCCTCTAGAAAGTGCTGGATTGCTCTTTCAAATGAAATTTCAGCCACGCAAAATCATTAAGATAGGGAGAAGTTAAGATTTTTTGAAAATGGTGTGACAGAACTTTTGGTTCAATCTAATAATCTTATATATATAAAGCTGAATGTCTGTTTGTCTGTATATCTGTCTTTCTGTATGTATGTATGTATGTATGTATGTATGTATGTATGTATGTATGTATGTATGTATGTATGTATGTATGTATGTATGTATGTATGTGTGTACTTATGTTTCAAATAGAAAATTCCATTTCTGAACCTATTCGGACCAAACTTGGCACCAGGGTCAAGCTTGTGATGCGACTGTCGCAACGGGGGGTCGTAAGAGGGTATCTAAGGGGGAGGGGGGGGGGTCGTAAGAGGAGGTAGTTAGGCTAAAATACCCTAGGCTTCAAAGGTTATCAAAAAGCAGACAATTAGTTATGTTCTTTACAATAAATCTATAAAAAAGTGGAAATCAGAATAAAAAAGTCAAAAAATATGTAGAAATTCTCAAAAAAAAAAACATTAGAGCTCAAAACACTTTTGAAGGATATATTATTTGATAAAAATGCTAAATGTACCGATTGCCCTAGAAATCTTGCTTCTGAAGCCTTCCTGAAGTCTCACACACTCGACAAAAAGCGAATGTCTTTACCAGCTGTGACATCATAAAAGTCTAAATCTTTTTGTAATGTTTTTCACGAGCTCGTATGATTTATCTGTACTTTTGAGATGCTCCGCTATATCAGTGCAGAATTTGGTGTTATTTTGTCAACTGTGGATTTTCTTATGATTTTATGTATGGTAGCAAAAAATGGGAAAAGGGGGGTCGTATCTGGGTCGCATCTAAATTTCTTCGGAGCTTTGAAGCTTGTTGGCTGCAATTCTGCTGTACCTACTTTCCCTTATAAAAATTGCAGGCTGTTTTATAACTTCTCTGGTAAGTTACAAAATTTTAAGCTCAAAAATCCCAGTTTTTGCTTTTTAGGATCGCATCCAAATTTGCGAGAGTCGCATCTAAATTTTTTCGAGCTTACTGCTCCTCAAGAGCTGAAACTTTTTCTTTGGATAGTCTGGGCACTATTTTACGGAACCTGTACTTTGCAGCCTCTTAGTCTTTTCCTGGCCTTAGTTACGAATTTTCAAACTCCGTGCTCATGCACGTTTCTGACGTCGTTCTGGATGGCGCTCAAGGGGTTATTTTCGCGGGAAAAACTGTGGAAAAGGTAGGAAGTAAGCTTCTTAGTCGAAAACATCTTTTGTAGTTCATGAATGTCATTTCTTCTCCGTGCAGAAATTTGTGTCTCCTACGGGAATCCAATTTGCTGGCCTAATGTATGCCTGAAAATTCAAAAAAACTTGCAGAATCTGAAAGATTATTGAAGGTGTATGTGTGCTACAGATGATGGACGCACCCATTGGCCTAGAAATTCTGCTTCCGAAACCTCACTGAAGTTCTCACGCAGGTGTTTTTTGAGATTGACATTCGTTTATGCAGGTTACCGCGAGGAATGTGGGCAGGGAAAGTAAGGGGATAAATGGGTGAGTGGGGGGGGGGGGGAGGGGAGGGGGTCGTACGGGTGGGTACCTTCAGGGGGGGGGGTCGTAAATGAGGGTCGGAAGTTTTTTTTTTCAAAGTTTGAGCTACGGGGCTGGGAGTTGGCACAGAGGGTAATCGAGCATGCTGATTACGAAATACGATATCAGTTTTTTGGAATTATCCGCTACTTTTATCGATTTTACCAATTTTTTGTAAATTTGAGCTGCGGGGCTGAGAATTCGCACAGGGATAAGTGAGTATGCTGATAACTAACATAGCGGGAAAAGGGATTTGGTATGTAGAAGTGGGCACAGGGAAAGACTGTGTAGGGATAGGGATGGGAGTTTTATCATAGTGTTTGGACAGGGCCGGGCGGAGCCGGATAAGCCAGCTAGTAATGACATAATATTAAGTTTTCCTTGAATTCTTTGAACAGTTCCTTGAATTTTCATGCTTCATTTTCACGTCGTGAAGGATGTAGAGATGAGCTACTTGATTTCGGATACACACAAGTTTTCTCTTTCTAGCAAAATAATGGAAATCTTGATTTGCCATTTCAAAGTCTTTGATACAAAAAATGAAATTTCCTCAAGTTTGCGCACAATAAGAAAATGTATCGTACTTTTTTTTCTTCTTTCCTTTCTAAGCAAAGAAGCTATAATTAAGCAGTCATCTTATTTCTTTCTTACAGGGAAGTTCACTTCGTCGAAATGAACGAAAGTTGATGTATCCCAGCAAATTAGGCTTAAAACGCTGATCATAGACGTACCTTTTGTACCTGTGAAGCGTTCTACTGAAAAGGTTACGAGCTTTAAATTTCAAAATCACAATAATTTTCACACGGTATGCCGACTTGAGCAAACCACCTGATAAACGTTGTAAGATAAGACTGATCTATTATAATCTGAACATTTTCGAGTGTTGTTCAACCGTGTTGGTATCTACAGTTCGTCATTTGCTATTCAGCCTACACTCCTATTATAGGTACGAAAAAAAAACCCATAACTTCCTACAGAAGGTACGATTGAAATCAGCGTTTTGAGATTTCCGCTGATACACATCTCCCTTCAATGCTACTTCGATTATGCGAACTTTTCTTGTTAGTGAGGTGCTCTTTTCGAAGATACCAAACACTGGGCAAAAGTTTCTTTGCAGGATTTTTGAGAGACGCAAAAGCGACCAAAATTACTTATTAGCCAAATTAATAATTCAAATATGGCCTGATGCACCTCATTCTTTATTAACCTTTAGAACATGATGAAGGAAACGTAAACGAAAAACCTATGTAATAAAGTCAGAAAGAATCACACAGCTCATCTTGATACATCAAAGTGCAAGTGATTACGTTCATTTCTACTCTAAGCCGTCACCGAGGCAAACAAAAAGCAAGAATGGAACTCGATGATGGGATTGACTAGCAACCTAAAGGAGAAGATTGAAGCTTTACAAATACCTTTCATGATATCCGAGGATTTTCATCAACCCAATTTCCCTCAAAAATTCGCTCCTTGACGCATCATCGGCAGGCTCTGGTAACATTTTGACTGCCACCTGTCATCATTATTAGCGGAAGCATAAGAAAAAGAGCAATGATTAGCTAGTTCTGAAAAAAGTGTAAATATTATATTAGGGTGTAAAGAAAGTCCCGACACTTTTGGAAACATCATTTTCAAACGCATTTTTCCGGCACTCGGTCCGATTTTGACACCAAGTTTTCTATAATGTTCAATAGAGGGGGCCTAAAGTTTTCAATAAGTTTTCTGATTTTTACCAATGCCAAGACGCGTTTGATCTGCACATCAAGAAAGAAAAACTTTTCAACCACAAAGATTTCAGAACTTTTCTTTCTACGGCCATTTTTTTGCGAAGTTCAAAAAATTTGTCCCAATCATGGGTTCTGATTGAGAAGCCTGTTAACTTCTGATCCGCAGCTGCGCTCGAGTTTTGCGACTTGCGCTCAGAAATCACAAGCTGTCGAACTTGCCTCTAACTGCAACTATTTTGCAGCTAAAGTCGCTTCTGCGGGCGTTGCCGCGCCTGGACGATGGGTCTAAAAGGTGTGTAAGGCATTACCCCAACAATGTCCGCAGTAATCAAAGATTTGGTCCACCCTATGCAGAACGACAAGACTTCAAAGTCAATTACTCAAAAAGTGGTGCAGTTTTAGGGGCAAAAATAATTGATTTTCAGGCTTTTTGGAAAAACTTTCCATAATAGCCCCAGCAGAATTCTATATAATTACAGAATTGAGCTCTCCAGCTTTTATCGTGCCTGAGATAATCCTTTGCAAAATAGGCCACTTTTCGCGACGACCTTTCCCTTCTGTGCATGCTGGTGGACCGCAGTGCTGTAAAGCCAGCAAAACAAACACATGTTGTAAACAAAATTGTCTTTGCAATGAAGTTTGTAACTTTGAAAAAGAATCAATCTGCTTAAAATTACAGCATTTGAAATTTTTTTCGCATTTGTCGGAAAACTTTCTTTACGACTTAATATATTGAAGATACAAACCTGACAACTCGCCGCTTTCATCAGATTCACCGAAAGCGACATAAAATTGTGGTTTGGCGGGGATTTGCGAATGAGTCTACCTGAAGGATAGTGATAAACAGACTATGACGTGCAGGAAAAAACATGTTATATTTTTGTCATATTTACAGTTTGGTATTTCCTGATGATTTCTCAAAAGTTGCGTAAACTCTTTGAATCTCTAAACGACCATTTAATCCAGATTATTTCATTTACGCAAGTAACAAAAATCAACTAAAGAGGCTCTTACACAGATCAGTGATTAGCCTATGATGCATAGCAAGTTCTTGAAGATTAGCATTCTAAGAGATAGAAAGCAGTATGCGCAGAAACATGTTTCTATTCTGCTTCTTACCTCACACGGGTGAATATGTTAATGGTTTTGAGTTCCCCTCTTGGTAATTTTTCTCAAGTAGTTTCATCTCAATATGTAGCTATCACTTTCATGATACTCCAGCCCTTGTAATTTGGTTTTTCGTGTTTTCATCACAGGTATGTTATGTATTCTTTTTGCTAAACGTTAGCTTACGGCTGCAATTAGACTGAACTACGAAAGTGCTAGCAGTAGCTCAACGCATGGATAACTGACAAACAAATCACTTAGTCAATACTTTATAAGAGGTTATTGAAAAAATCGAGTTTGGCAAAAGAAGTCAGTTTTTACTTATACGTCATTTGAGATTGAATTAGATTAGAAGCTAAGATCTTGCCTAGATAGACCGCTCCAAAAGCACCAGATCCAAGCTTTACTCCGTCGTAAACTATGAGATTACTACGCTCGATTTCCCAGTTGTCAGATCTGAAGTAAATTCCTCATTAATGAAAGATTTTAAATACTTGCAACAACGTACGCTTTAGGAAGACTGTGTGGGCTACTTCTTTTCTGTTTTTGCGTTGACTTTGGTTGGTATATTTTGTTATTTCGTTTCTGCTTGTTGATGTAGCACCACACGGCGATGGCACCCATCATCAGAAGAAAGGCTGTGCCAGTTGTAAATAATATCGTCTCAGTCTCGAAATTCGCTAAGAAACTCTACTAATAACGTTTCTTATGAATTTACAAACTGTGCTTGCATACCTATAGAACTAACGTAAACCTTGCTTACTTCTAGTTTCGTGGCACTCTTTCCATGAATATAAGGTAGTGCAATTGTATTCCTGTTATCCTTGATGGCACAAAAAATGATGCCATATGTTTCATCATAACGAATGCCAGATATCGAAACGCTGTTCTTGATCTTCTAAAACAATGTTGTGGAAAGGTTCTTATATATCGCAACAACGAACAAAGAAAGAAGTTATTTTTGTGCATTTACCAAACAGCCTCTAATCTTGTCAAATTTCAAACAGTTGGTAGTAGTTTTGATGTTGCGGGTGAGCTTGACGCCATCGAACACATTCTGCAGCCGAAACACATTAGATATGTATACAAGGAGAATGTGCGGAGGGGAGGCGAACATTTTTAGTTTTTTGGCATGGTTCCGCTTCTCCATAGTAGGCTTTGTAATAAAGTGTTGGCAGCTTTCCCTCTCTCATCATCGGATCGAATGTAACTTCTAGCGAAAGAATTTCCTTATTAGGCTCATCTGACACTGACATTTTGTCTGTTACCTTAATGAAATTAGCAAACGACAGTATACGCTGCACACAGTGCTGTATTACCTCATAATGGATATTGTTGATCTGTCCACAGATGGGAGATGTGGATACTTCTTCTGCGCAGGAACTATTCGTCACGGTATCACAACCTATTGAATAAAAAAGGATTAAATATGAGGACGAAAACTATAATAGCACTTTATGGAAAGCTACCTAACTTAGCTCGGCCTTTTGGCAAGGGACATATACTTTCTGAATCAGCTTCAAAAACAAACAACGCAAGCGCGCTTGCTAAAGCCGTAATGTCTGCCGCGCTTCACGGCTAAACCGACGACCGAGTGATAAACCTTTGAAAGTGAATGTTGTGCGTTTCGAATACGTCCCATAATCTTGCGCCTCATGCGCTCTACGCTTATCAAGCCGCGTTCTGCCCAAAAATATTACGCTTTCGTCATGCAGCAATCTATACATAAGCATTCATAAAGATTGCGGAGGCTCTCTTCATTAAAGCGCTCTCCTACATCACAGCTCAGTTTGCCGTTCGACATGATACACTTGTTCGTAGCTAAGTTTGAAGCCGACTGACACTGGTTTCACACTTTTTCCTCATAATATGCTGGTGTCAGAATATACAAGTTTTGAAAAGGCTCTTTTGCCTCCACACCAAAAATGGTAAGCTGTGGTGCCAGTTGCCGTCAACAACATAATGACAGATTGTTTTACACAAAGGTGAATTGTGTCCGCGGTATTTAACCAATAATTTCAGTCGCTCGCTCCATGCTCTCACTCGCCTGTAGCCTCTTATTCAGCGCCTTGATTTTTCTTTGTTAAAACACTAACAACATTAACACTGTTTCAAACAGGATGTAAAAGTGATCCTATTCTTAGCTCTCGAGATCTAATATACAAATTATCACTAGTAAAAAGGAGACGACAATGATGTTAAAAACTAACTTATCACTATCGATTGTGATTCCTCAGTCGACGGAAATGAAGTAGTTTGACACCGTCGACTAGTAACATATGCCGCTCTGTAGCGATAATGACATCGACGATACATTGCGTCAGCGTCTAGCCGAGCTACTACAGTATTCGGGCGAGAACCTTGCGTCTACAGAAACAACTCAAAATAATGAAAAGATTTTTGACTTACAAATTTTGGCAAAGGAACTTCGTTGATAGGCGCTTTCTCGCAAATGGCACCAAACATTTTTGGAGTCACATTTAGATCTTCAAGCCCAAATGGCCACTCTAAACCTTGATAAGGTAGTGTCCTGCCGAAAATGGCGATAATTCAAAATACCCGCAGCAAAATATTTTAGAGTGAGCTCAACGGACCCGCCAAGCCAACCCGGGATACCGCTCTGAATCTCGTATAAAAAAATCAGTTGGAGGACTACCAACAGCTTACATAAACCATGCTCAATAAATCGAGATGTGGACTTATTGAAAGCAATGGCGGCTTTATTGAGAGCAAGCTGGAAAACGGACCAGTTCTAAGTGAAGACACTGCTGCCACACTAAAAGTGAACACTCGAAAAGGGAATATGCAACTATCAAAAATAACAATTACAGTACTAACCGCACATTTATGGACGAATTACAGGATGTTATCATTGATATCATATAGTCTTTAATTTCAGGCTGAGTTGAAATCTATAAAAAATTGTATTTGAAATAATTCAATTTTTTGATTTTACCTCATAACGGTTAGGTTTAAAATCAACTTCGTCTGAGAACTTGTACTGGATAACGTAAAGATCGGCTCCACGGACAGGAGAGAAGACAACAGCCATTGTTGAGTTTTGTCCCATTGGCTGAAGTTTACTGACGGTTTCTAGAGGTAGCGAATTTGGAAAGCATTCGGTCGAGCAGACCCCTGTCTTCTGAAATCACGTCTGATCTGTATGAATGGCATAAAGCAGCAAAAACTTACACAAAGTTTTGCTATACAATCTCCAAGGCAGAAATCCACATTGCCTTTCTGAAAATTGGAACAATATTGCGTGAGCGTTCTTCTCTTCGCACCTCTAGCCAGCAAGTGCAGCAGTTATGAGTATTTGCTGGTACTTCACCTGACTTCTGCTTTTGCCATCAGAAGCGGTGTTTGATGTTACCATGACTCGACTACGCATTCGCTCACAAGAATACATATTATTGATAACGCAAACAAAATCATTTTTGAGCAATATACATCAGCAGCTTTATGCAAGGTTCTCTTGTGTGCTGTAGTTTTGTAGCAATGATAAAACAGCCGTTACAAAGCTCAGTTTTGCAGTAGAGCAATTAGATAGGTAAAGGGAAGGAGTTAAAAAGGTAAAGGGAGGAGTTAAAAAGGTCTTTGTGAGTAATCTATGTATACCAGTGGCGTACCCAGGATTTCGGCTCGGGGGGGGGGGGGGGGCGCGACAGAAATTTTTTTCTAAAGAAGGTGCGTGGCGTTAGCCACGCACTCCGAAAAAATTTTTGGGGTGCTTCTCAAAACTTTTGCGGGTCCCCGACCTTAAAATTTTAGAAAAAGGGGGCATGGCGTCAGCCACGCCCCCAAAAAAATTTTTTTTTATAAAGCTAAATTAAATTTTTAAAAAATTTTAGAAATTATTTTAATTACTTACAAGTACAAAAAAGTCTTTTGCACATTTTTATAACCCATATAAGTAACTTTCAAAAGTTTCGCGACCCATTCTCGGGGGGGGGCGCGCGCCCTCCCCCCCGCCCCCCCCCCCTCGGTACGCCACTGATGTATACATACAGGGTGTCCCAAAAGTGTGTATACACTGTTTGATCGTTGATATTTCTTTTCCCATAAAGTCTTTTGCTTACCTTTAAACACCATTTTATAGAGTGGCCTCAACCTAGATATACAGTACGGAGCGAATCACGGATCGCTCTTCACTACTGTAAGATTACGGTGGCAACTTTCAACTTATTGCGGATTTACCGTGTTTCAAAAAACTTTCCAAAAAATCTGAGAAGTGGTGTACTAGGGTTTTCAAGCTCGCTGATTTTGTTGTTCAACTTTTTACGAGTTTGCAAAGCTTTTAAAATGGTGTAATTACGATCTCATGGAGTGTTGTAAAAACAGCTATTGCGGTCTACCTGGCACAACTTATGAAGGAAGCATTGCGGTAAATTGCGAACATCATGTTTGGTTGGCCTTAGTTGAAGTTCTCTGACTGTTCGGCTTGCTTCCTGGGGCGAAACAGAGTCCTTCTCAGACAGTTGACGGCATACCTCCGGAGCAGAAATGGCCGAGCCGCGGAGTTTCCCCAGCTGGGGATTGCCACTCGTGCTCCGGAGCCCTGCCATTTCGTGCTCCGAAGCCCTCCCATTTGTGCTCCGGAGTCCTCCCATTTTGTGCTGCGGAAGGCTGCCGCGGCATACTGTAACTAGCCCTAATTAAGCTCCAAACCCCAATTTTGTATCTAAACCCCACCCAAATTAGCCGAATACGACCCCCCCCCCCCCGGGTAGGACTTCAGCGCGACCCTCAACCCCGTTCTTTACCCCCTTCCTCTCACCCCTAGCGTTTGTGGATAGATAGAAGAATGAAAAAACAAGGCATTTATTTCAAATTAACTGCAAACAGTCTTCTGCAAATTGCAAAACAAAACTTAGCAGCTACAAAACGGACAACACCGACAACAGTTGCCGGCAACCTATGGCCGTACCCTAAGCGAAAACATAAGCGAAGTAAGTGTAGTGAGTTAGATTGCTTGGAAAAACACAGCGCAAAACCTTTTGTCACAAAACCTTTGAGTGCTGATATCTGCATTGCAGCGCAAAACAATGAGGAAACTCGCACAGAATAGATCTCGGTTGAGAAATGAGGTACACGATGTAATATGAGACAGACACCACAACAGTGAAGAAAAGCAATGATGATGCTACTGAGCCACCCCGCTCGCCCTGAGTGTACTGCTAGAGAAAACAGCGAAAGCAAACGTCTACCGTTTAGGAAATGAGATACTGACTAATCATCGTGTGATCTTCAGTTTATTGCTAATCTTTATGGAGATCAACCTGAATCGCTTCATTTATCTGCCAAGAGTACACAGTAAACAGATAAATGAAGCGATTCAGGTTGATCTCCATAAAGATTGGCAATAGGATGCAACTTCAAAACTATCAATACTTACTTCCTTAACGATGACCACATCAAAATGTCCTCAGGTTTCATTTCATCGAAGACGCTGTTATTGACTTTAGAGCTGCGAATAAGCGCTATAGCAGATCATGTCGAACCCCTCAGAAATAAAACTAGAACTCTAAAACAAACAGTACCTAAATGAAATCTCCTAGATTCATAGCATGCCCAAGATGAGTTCTCGTTGAGGGCGTTGGGTGTCACACATACCCACCTAGATCTTTGAAGATTATGTCCATGAATAGCAATTTCTAAACACGCGATTCATTCACAGCGTACTTGATGACTTCATAAGCCTAACATCCCATATCCATGACTAGCCCGTAACAGTACGCAATTGCGACTGAAACCCGGGCCCTGGCCAGACTTCGCTCAAAAGCGCCCAAAAGCGCCCAATTTTCTCTAATGCCTCTTCATCGATAAAGAAACGCGGAAAAACAACAAAAAGTCGAAAACGAGGGCAGCTATTTTCGAAAATGCTAAGCTGCTTATCACAGCAACTTGGCTGCGTACCTATTGTGCTCCAGAGACCTCCCATTTTCTGCTCCGGGCCCTCCCATTTGTGCTCCGGAGACTTCCCATTTGTGCTCCGAAGCCCTGCCGTTCTCTGCTCCGGAGGAGTCCCAAATCTGGCGCACTCGCGGCGGTCAAATCTCTGCTCCGGGGCTCTTCCAAATCTGGCGTACCTCCGGAGCGCAAATCTCTGCTCCGGGGCTCTCCCAAATCTGGCGTACCTCCGGAGCAGAGATTTGCGCGTCCCGGAGAAGGGTCCCACTCGCCTGCTTGTGACGTCACCGTGACCTACAAGAAGGGACCGCTCCCTCGCCCCGCTCTCATTGGTCAATTGGGTCCTCCGCGGCTCTGCCAGATTTCGACTGTCTATAAAATGGTGCTAAAAGGTAAGCAAAAGACCTCTTGGAAAAAAGATATCAACGATCAAACAATGTATACATACTTTTGGGACACCCTGTATAATTCAAACACTGTATCTTTGTTTATTAGGATGTTTGCGGCTTGTAGACTCCTATGCGTGTGAATCAAAGAGGCCGAAATTTGTTGCCCTATAAATGAGACGCGGCGCAAAAGATAGGCTGCATTTCTCGACTTTTCGCTAGGTCACTCTATCGATTTATTGATTTGTTTTACTTACATATGAGAAAATGAAAGCACATCAATCATTTCTCCAAAAGTAGTAAGGGACGGCAGTGATCATCTACACTTTGCGGTGAGGAGGATGCGGTGTCACGAAGCGAGGCGGTCAAAAGAAAGGCAGTTTTACCGAAGATACCACAGAAGCGATGCAGTTAACTCGGAGCTGAAGAGGTAAAAGAAGAGAAGATATAAACTGAAGGAAATGGAGGAATGGTAAGCCATAAGAATAATAGGGAACAGACACTATGCCGGGCCACTTTGAACCCTCGGCCCGGGTGATACCAGGGACCGCAGCTAGTAAGTTAAGTGCAAGATTAGTGTAAAATTAGTCGCATGCTTTCTTCTAAGGCTTAACTGATAGCCGGATCACTCGATGCAACAGATATTCTTGGTTCAAACATTTTTTTTATTTACTATTGGGGTTTAAAATACATTTACCCGATGCTGCCTTATTTGAACGTTGAGAAAAAGTTACGACTGATTTAGTATTAGTCTTCCATTTAATTTTGATTAAAAAACCTTTATAGTTCCTCTCCAAAAAGCCCACAGCAGATAACAGAGGTAGATTTGGAATCAGCTTCCAAGCTACAAGACAATGCACATCTAGTTTCAAAAGGCCACCTTCGACCACCTTCCTTTCCTTGCTAGATACTTAGATGGCCCCATACCTTCGATACATAGAGCCATGTACACTGATAACCTTCACTTTTGAGCGCCATAATAGAACACAACTTCACCTAAAAAAGCCATTTGGCCCCAGTTGTCACGATTTTGACTATATAATGAGTGTGAATGAAGCAAATATAGGGAGTAATATCTTTAGATTATCTCAGCGAACGAGAATTTGCGTTTTTATAGCCTTTTTTAAGGAGAGTTTCTTTAGATGTTTCTCGATTCAAGTCAACATATCTCACTTAGCCTCTTATTTGACTAAAATTGAGTTTCAGAAGTTCACGGAAGCTGTTGGATACTCGTAGTTGAATTGGCTGAGCGAACTTACAAGGTTGATAATACTTCTTTATTCGCTAAGTAACTGCGCTTGAATCTTGTGTAGAGACGCGCACAAAATGCGGTCTCTCTTGTTAATGAGCGATTTTCAACCGTGGGACGTTGCCAATGCTATTCATCGGGTCGAGACGATCAGAATGATATATAACGCTGCGGGGTTTCATGAAGTCCCCGCTATGATTCACGATCAAAGCCAAATGCCCTGTCGGCTCTGGTCTGTTTCCGCTGCTCTTTTGCGTCTCCGCGCGCTGCGCGCTACCTCGCTACTCCAAGTGCGGGGGCGGGCATTTGGCTCTGGTATTCCTTTCTTCGTTGTTTCGAACCCAATCTTGACAAGGAATGTATCATATTGAAGCTCCTGATCTCTACTTTCACGCTGACAACGTCCCAAACCACATTTTTTTTGATTTGAACGAGAAATCCGGCAAAAACCTTTTTTCTAAAAAACTCTTGCTTTTCAAAACAAAAGTTTTTTTGTTTTTTTCCCCA